CCTTCTGTGTATAAACCTTTCCTTGACTTTTTACAATAGTTGTTGTTGTTGTTAAATGCCGTCGAGTCGTTTCTGACTCATAGTGACCCCATGCACAGCAGAATGAAACACTGCCCGATCCCGCGCCAGCCCCACAATCCCGCTATACTTGAGCCCATCATCGCAGCCACCGTGTCAATCCATCTCATTGAAGACCTCCCCCTCTTTCGTCGACCCTCCACCCTACCAATACAATAGTAGACTAATACAATATTTGTCCTTCTGTGATTGACTTATTTCACACAGCAGAATGTCTTCCAAGTTCATGCACAATCGAATGCTTTTGTTTAGTCAATAAAACACAGCTAAACATCTCTCTGGTATTCTCTGCTTTCAGCCAAGATTCATCTGACGTCAGTAATGATATCCCTCATTCCATGCCCTCTTCTGAATCTGCCTCCTGCCTTGAATTTCTAGCAGTTGCCTGTCAATATACTGCTGCAACTGTTTTTTAATTATGATCAGCAATATTTTACTTGCAAGTGATATTAATGATATTTATTGTTTGATAATTTCTGCATTCTGTTGGATCACCTTCCTTTGGAATGGGCATAAATATTGATCTCTTCCAGTTAATTGGCCAGCTAGGTATCTTCTAAATTTGTTGGCATAAAAGAGTGAGCACCTCCAGTGCTGCGTCCATTTGTTGAAACACCTCAGTGGGTATTCCATCAATTCCTGGGCTTTGTTTTCCACCAATTCCTTCAGTGCAGTTTGGACCTCTTCCTTCAATACCATCGGTTCTCGATCATATGCTACCTCCTGAAATGGATGAGCATTGACCAGTTCTTTTTGGTACAGTGTCTCTGTTCATTCCTTCCATCTTCTTTTGATGCTTCCTGCATCATTCAATATTTTGCCCCTAGAATCCTTCACTTCAGTATTGCAACTTGAGGCTTGAGCCTCCCTAAGGGGTAGGTATTGTCTTACAAATGAAATGGCTGGGGCTCAGGGAGATTAAGCAGCTGTCCCCAAGGCCCTACAGCAACTTGGCATAGTTGGTATTTGTGCCTAGGTGTGACCTATACCAGAGTCAACACTGCCCCAAGGGTCTGTGGGTCTGGCTGGGCCCAGCCTGACCCCCAGCAGGAGAGAGTAACCTCCTTTTTTCTGTTTCAGGCCCTGAAGCGCCAGAGCTCGCTTGGCCTTTCCTTCTTTAACAGCATCCTGGCCCATGGGGACCTGCGCAACAACAAGCTGAACCAGCTCTCTGTCAGCCTGTGGCACCTGGTGCAGAGGCATGGCTGTGCGGACACCAGGACCATGGTGAGGCGCTTGGAGGGCCCCTCTGCAAATACTTGAGTCACGGGACCTTGGCAAACAGCACAGAGCAACCACGGGGCTCAGGCTGGGCTCAGCTGACCTAGCCTCACCTTGGCTTTGGGCCTTGGCATCCAGCAGCCCCAGCCACACCTTTACAAGGGCTCCAGCCCTGAGATTTCTGCTGGCCACTTGATAGGCCAGAAAATATAGCATTAAAAGTTTATTCCCTCTGAATGGTAAAAAAAAAAAACCACACATATTAAAACACCAGTTATTCCTTAGTAGTACCCAAATCTGATTGTATAAGGGCAAATTGTGATCTACGAGCAAGTTGTATTTAAACTCTGCTGGTTTCTTCCCCTCCCTCATCCTTTAAAGACTTCACCTGTACTCTGCTAGAACACGTACACTCACATAATGGCTGATTTGTTGGAGCCTTAGGCCCAAGGATACAGAGTTATGAACCAGATAGGAAATGCTTCTGTCTTTTTCCTCTTAGGTGAGAACTCTGGAATACATCAAGAAGCAAAGCAAACAACCAGACATGAGTCATTTGATGGAGCTGGCCCTGAGACTCCCTCTGCAGACACGGGCCTGAGCCTGGTCCTTCCCTAGGCCTGAGCTCAGGCATTCTAAGACTGAGCCCAGAGAGACCACACTTTGCCCAGGACTTTTACTGGAATTCAGAAAGTTGTCTGTTTTTAGGGTTTTTGGTTTTCTGAAAACACATAGGCAGATTGGTTCACACTTTGGCCTCTGCTCTGATAATTCTGACGGTGAAGCGGGTGCACCGTCAGTATTCAAATCAAACATTGCTCACAGAGCAGCAGCATCTTGGTGCTTCTTAATGAGGGTGGCCTTTATGTTCTCATTAAGCCCCAAGAAGGATCAGGTGGGCCTTGAATGAGCGCAAAAGGATGCAAGTAATGTCTTTAAGTAGGGTCCCCCCAGCCCCGTGTTTTTGGAAAACCACCTTGGAAAGCAGTATACATTTCAAGAGCCACAGTTCCCAGTCCCAAATTTGAGGACCCAAAGTCTGGAATCAAATGTTGCTTACACTAGCTTGGAGAACTTACAAAAGGCAGATGGCGCAGTTAGCTCCTTTTCCATCAAAAGCAGCTCTTGGTTGGACACAGAGCATGTTGGTGGGTCAAAGGAGGCAGCAAAGCCAAACCTGAGACTCACTGTGGCTTCAGCAGCAGGTACCCTCTGAATAAACGTCCTGGAGGAACATTCTATATCCATGTCTCTTCATTTAATTACTTCTGACACTCTTCATCGAGAAGAAACAGAGCACGTCTAAGCATATCGGCCCAGCAGGCTTCTGAGCCATAATTCTCAACAGCACGCGATCCTGGATGCTTTTCTGTCGCTGGTTTGGTGGAAGCAGATTCTTGTATTACTGCTCACAGCTTCCACAGGCATTTTGAATCAGTAAGAGCAGCACTATTGATTGGCCTGTAACCTGTTCCCCATGAAATTGCATCCAAGTTGTGGATTAAAAGTGCCACAAACTATGGTACTTTTGAGAAGCTGTACACTGGGTATGGTTAACAGTCTCAGAAAGTAAAATGATTTTTAAAAATAAACTTATGTTCCTACTGGATAGTTTGAGTCCAAGAATATGCTGTGAAAATGCATTTTCAGGTTAAATTGGTTAATGACACCACCCACACCCACTCCGTCCCTACCCTCTCAGCCCACACCCAGCCAAGAGTTTCTGTTGAGAAAATAATGGTAGACCCTAATGAAAGCCTACTTTCCTCCCCTTTACTGAATAAAACATGCAGAAACTGAGCATTGTGGTATTTCTGAATACTCATAGGTGGCCTTTATTTCACAAAACTCCAATCTCCATTAAAATTATTTTATATACAATCTTTATCTACACAGTGTTATTTAAGTGAAAAAGCCATTGGCAAATTCATGAAGTATGCTCTTAAATCATTTCTTTTGAGGCTGCAAATGTCAAGACATGAATGTCACTGAGTTTATGTTGGTCTGACATTGAAGATTTCCATTAGGTCAGGTATGCTTTACATCAGAGGCAGCTCAGGCATCAGCCATTGTCTTGCCTACGCAGCCTAGATTTGTGTGTTCTTGTATGTAGTTCTGCCAGCCCATAACTAAATCAATAAGCCTGTCTCTGAGAACCATGGTCTACATGGGATGAAGCCTGCTACCCTCAGGAAGGACAGAGAAATAAAAAAATCCATGCAAGAATTTTAGGAAATAAGGTAAAAATGAGCGCAACTTGTGCATGAGTCGTGTATTTATTTCCTATGGGTGCTGTGAAAATTACTACAAACTTAGTGGCTTAAAAGCAACAGTTTCATCACCTTACAGTTCTGGAGGTCACAAGTCTGACATGGGTCTTGCTAGGCTAAAAGTCAAGAGGTTAACAGGCTGCCTTTCTTTCTGCAGGCTCTAGGGGAGAACCTGATTTTTTTTACCTTTTCTAGCTTCTAAAGGTCACCCACATCCCTTGGTCATGTTGTTGTTGTTGTTTGCCATCGAGTCGGCCCCGACTCATAGCGACCCCTCCTTGGGTTTCCAAGGCAGTATCACTACAGAAGTAGGAATGCCCAACCTTCCTTCCGAGGAGTGGCTGGTGGGTTTGAACCGCCAGCCCTCTGGTTAGCATGGTCCCCTTTAATTTTCAAGGCCAGCAATGGCCAGCTGGCTGAGTCTGTGCCACATCGTCTCTGACACTGGCTCTTCTACCTCCCTCCTCCACACTTAAAGATCCTTGTGGTTATACTGGGCCCATCCAAGATAATCTCCTTATATTAAGGTCAACTGATTAGCAACTTTAACATGATCTCTAACTTTAATTCCTCTTTGCCTTGTAATCTAATGTATTTACTGGTCCTGGGGATTAAGATGTAGACATCCTTTGGCAGGGGGCATTGTTCTGCCTACCACAAGGCCTAGGTAACTGTAAGAGTTTGTCGCATTGGATACACAATTTCTTTTAGGGGAGAACTTCATCTGTTTGGAAAACAGTTGCGGTGGGCCTTTCTGGTTATGGAAAGGTGGCCTCAAGGCAGAGTTTAGTGGGCCAAGGCAGATACAGCAGGAATTACTCCAAGAATAAAGTGGGAAGAATAGTGAGGAACAAAAATGCCCAGAATTACTCGTCAGAGAGTGGTAGAACCCCCAAGATTATGGCCTCGACTTACTTTTCAGGCCTGGAAATGGACTCATTTCTGTGGATTGGCTCTCAGCCAAACAGTAGAAAGACCTACAAGCAGAACACCTACCCCAGGAAGATGTACTCCTTAGATCAGTCAGAGCCATGATACATCAGAGGGGCAGCATTCACATAGAAAGCAGGACAGACAGGAATGCAGAGATAAGGGCACACGAAATGGGTAGTCACAGGGAGGAGAGCTTTTTATGATTGGGGAGTGTAACGGGCTGTGAAATCAAATGTGCATGAACTGTTAGAGTAAAATGAATCTGCTTTGTAGATATGCACCCAATCACGATTTTTTAAAATTTTTTAAAAATATTGAGCGTTAGGGGACAGCCGACAACAGGAGATGGTGAGGAAAGGACTTTGCTATAGAAAATGGTTTGTCAGTGAGAAATCCCTAAGAGAAACAGCTAACACATCTGAGAACCGGGCTGTTGAAATATTCAACTCAGATCTTGGACATGTTTTATGCCAGACCTCCCCTCTGAGCAGAAATTCTAAAACTGCCTGTTTCAGTGGAGACAGGTCTGGAATCAAGACATGAAGAACACAGGAAATCTAGGTGAGGAGCAAGAGAAACACACAGATTGCTTGGAGAGGACACTGGACACCAGAAAAGGGGGAGGGAACTCAAGGCAATTATGATTTAATTTACAAAAGATGGAGCCCCAGCTAACCCCTTAAGTACAGACAGCAATTCTCCCAACACTGCAGACTGCCACAGAGTAAGGGTCTGCTCACAAGAGTAATGGCGGTCTGCATCCACCAAAGTGACGAGACAGGGTTAGGTCATCAGCATCCTGTTGCCTTAGCAGCCCAACCATCTTCAGTTAGACTGTGCTTCAGGAACAGACTTCCAGAATTTCCTGTGTACTGAACAAAAACAAGTTTGCCTCAACCAAGTAGAACTCTTAAAAGCATTATCCAAAAAGTCAATGATACACTGAGTTACAGTCAAGTCCTATTACAGAGACTACACTTAATGGCAGAAGGGCTAAGAAAAGTTTGACTATCACACTCCAGTGAGAGCTGTCCATCACCAAGGCTTAGACACAGGGAAGACAGCAATCAGCTATCCACTTCCGAATCACCCTTGACATAGCCAATTGTAATCTTGATGGTCCAAGGCCTACCCACACTGTAGTGTGATCTGTAGGCAAGATGCAAACTATTACAATGGCTGGTTCCCTTTTACATGAAAGAGACCTACAGTCTTGATCAAGGACAGGAGAGATTGATTCCCCAGAGGAGGTGCTTTCCAACTCTAGCCTTAGATGGCCTCTTCCACTATGCATGTCACCGTTCAATCCATGAAAGACCCAAGTTTCTATTCTAAGTGGCCCAAATGGATTCTTACTAGCATACACCTGGAGCACAATCCTTTCTGGTTAGGGGTGAGAGCCCAGAAAAGGCCAGCTGTCTTAAGTGGCCTGGCTCACCTGTGCCCAGTGGGGTAGTGACACAATGTGTCTCTTGCCAGCATCCACTCATTTCTTCCTTCCTGGCTGGCCTGAAGACATTTTACCTCCCTCTGCCAGGGACTGGTTCAGGAATGTGCACATGACCCATTTTGAGGCATGAAGAGGTTTTACTGCTTCTAGAGTGTTTCTCATGTCTTGATATGCTACCTGGAATTGCTGTAGCCATTCTTGTCCAATCCTGATGAAGTCAACACTGAAGATGAGGGAGCAGAAAGGAATGTTTCCTTGGTGAGCTGATAAAACTAGCGCCTTACATCAGGACTTCCTGTCATGTGAGACATGGAGTTTCCTGTTTAGGCTGGCCTGAACTGTGATGTTTGCAGGAGTTCATGCCAAGTGATGTGAAACTGACTCAATCAGCATGATTTGGGGGATGCAAAATGCTAGGTGAATGGGAAGGTGAGCACATGTCACTCGAGTCATTAGATCTGGAGCTCTCCAAGCTTGGAGACAATGGGACTCCTTGTCCTCGTAGCTGATGAGAGCACTTCTATGTCATACCCCCGCATTTGACCTCCATCACAAAAGTCACCTGCACGCTTCTCTTGTTCCTTTTATTCTCAAGACTAAAACAAACCTGGGAATTTGCGATTAGCTCATTTGTAGGACTAAATATCCCAAAACCCAAATCTGCTGCCATCAAGTCAGTGTGCTTTCCTCTATTATCATTAGTTCTATTTCCTGTTTGAGATTCAGACACATAACAAAACAAATTTCTTAAAGCAAGACATTTTAATCCCAAGTATTCTAGGTGATATTCCCTAAAGGGGACATGTCACAGTGAATAATGACACTCAGGGCTTGGGCTACAAAAAAAAACAAAAAGACATTTGTACTTACTGGTTGGGTGACCCTGGGTAATTATTTTATTACTTCCTCCCTGAACCTCAGTTTTCTCATCTATATAAGATGGGAAGAATAATAGCACCTATTTCATAATATTATGAAGATTAAGTACAGTAATACAAAGAAAACCCACACAGTGTCTGGACCATACTAAACAAGTATTAAAAATCCAGTTGCCAGAGTCAACTGCGCCTCACTGCAACCCACGTGTGTCAGAGTAGAATAGCATTATGCTCCGTGGGTGTTCAATAGCTGATTTTTGGAAGCAGGTCACCAGACCTTCCTTCCGAGGCACCTCCAGGTGGATTCAAACCACCACTCTTTTGGTTAGCAGCCAAGTACATTAACTGTTTGCACCATCTAGACTCCCAACAAACATTAGCTGCTATTATTGATACACACTGTCATCTTCAGACAGAAATGGAATGTTTAGCACAAAAAATAAGCTCAAGCCACTTCAGTGTTCTCTTGGCTCCCGAAACACAAGCTGCCCCTACTTTTTCAGAACATCAAGATAGCTGTCCTTAATCTTTGCAGCAGTTCAATTTGAGAGAACTGTTGGATGGCTTTCATCTGCATAACTGAATAAGAAAAGCAGTTTTGCGCCCCCCCCCCAAGACCCAACTGTTTAATCTTCAAACTTAATGGACTTGGAAGCACTCCTGTCGATATAAAAGACTTTGTCCGGGGATTTGGAAAAGCCAAGGCCAGCTCCCCGGGTGTTCTGCCAGCTCATGGCCCGGTCATAGTCCTGCTGCAGGCTCTGCTGCAGGGCATCAGCCGCCTTCTTGCTGAGGGCCATGTTGGGCCTTCCAATCATGCCAGGGGGATGGCTGAACGAAGGGGGCAGATTTTTAAAGCCACCCATCAGTTTGAGAAATTTGCGTTTCTGGTCCTCATTTTCAAAATCAGCAGTGTCCCACTGGCCAAACTGGGTTCCCTGTGTTAACAGAAAAGAAGGCAGTTATTCCCTTGATCCCAGTGCGCTCTCCCTCCCCTCCGCCAGCCCCAGCCTCACCAGGCAGCACTCAGCGGGCTTGTCCTATTTAATCTTAACAAGAGGGAGACGATGATTAGCCCCATTTTATGGATGAGGAAATGAGGCTTTGAGCTTCGCTGGGGCACAGGCTAGCAGTCCTGCTGGAATCCTGCAACGGCTCTGGCCAACACCTGAAGCCATCTTCAGGTGGCCATCAAGTCAGTGTGCTATTCCTCTATTATCATTAGTTCTATTTCCTGCCTTTCTGTTTTAATTCTTCTCCCCTAACTCACGGCAAACAATACGGAACCCTTAACACACCCTCTACACACCAGAATTTCTCATACAGGAGAAAATGCCAAAGAGCCCCTCAGAGCAATGGCCTAAGACTCAATCCTTTACATGTCTGTGGCCCAGTCAAGAGACTCTGCTCCCAAGACGATGGTGGCTTTGAAGTTAGGCAGCCACAGGTTCAAGCCCCACCTGTGTGACCCCAGCCAATTCACCCAAAAGCTCCCTCACAGGGGTTCAGTGAGGAGTTAATCAGCTTCTATACTCAAACCCAGAGCACAACGTTTGGCACATTTTAAGTCCTCGGTAACCGGTAGTTCTTCCCAGCCCACCTCATTATGCATTCCTCGGGCTGGCCGTGCTGCCCAGGAACTTTCCACTTGGAAGCAAATGCCAGCCAGCAGCATCTCTAGGTTGGCTTTGGGAGAGAGTAAGAACCAGCTGTTACCAGCGATGATGCCCTAAGTGAAATGGTGATGAATTATGAATTCTCTAGCTTCCCAGTGGCCCAGATACAGGAATAATTAGCTCCCGAGGCCTGCCATTTCAAGGAAGATTGCCTGTGACAACCTGCACTGGTCTGGGGACAGCACTGCCAGAAGGCTGGCTAGGAGGCAGATACACTGGTCTTGGGTGAGCGGGCTCTTCTCAGGGCTGCTGACCCATCCAAAGGGGCCCACCACCAGCCTGGAGCCCCTTTACGTGCCTCAGTGCTGACATGGTCCAAGGTCCTGTGGGGCAGTGCCACACCTAAGGGTCCCCAGCAGGTCCTGGTCCCTGTGTACCAATACTGCTCTCCTGCTGTCAGGACCCTCCCAGTATAGCCTCTTGGGGCTAGGGGTCCAAGTAACAATGACACAGTCCTGGTTTTTGCCTGTATCACACATTCAGGGCATCCTGTCAGCTCTGCTCAGCTCAGAAGGATGGCGAGAAAGGACACACACAGACGAAGGGCACTTCTGTGCAGCGAAGCTTCCCCCCACACCCCACCTCCCAGGGTGAGGTTGTGAGTCCCATTCTACAGATACGGAAACTGAAGCTCAGAAGGGATGTTACCTGCCCAGAGTACCACAACTACAAAGTGACAGAGCCTGGGACGGGTAGCAGGGCTTACGATTCAAACCGAAGGTTCTTTGCTGAAGACTCTGAAGCCACGGAGGGAAGCCTGCCTGTCAGCCTTGGTTCTTTTTTCCCTCTCCCCGAAAGCCAGTCCAGTGACAAGTCCTGTTAGCCTTGCCTCCACAATCAACCCAGAAGCTGTTCTCTTCTCTCTAAACCCCACGTCACCTTCCTAGGCCCCTAACTTGCAGGATGAGTCTCCTGACCCCTCTCCCTACTGGTCCTGCGTAAAAGCCATCTGGCAGCTCCCACCATATTCAGAACCAGTGCAAGCTTCCTATCTGGGCCACTGAGGCTGGGCCGCCCGCCAGCACTGCCAGCTCATCCCACGTCCCAACAACTGGCCTGCTTTAGGAGACACTCCAAGCCCTTTCCCACCTTTGGACTTCACTCGCCATCCGCCCTCCCCTGGCTGTCTCAGGGCTGGTAACCCTTCACCTCAGTCTTTGTGTACATGTCACCTTCTCAGATTTCTCTAGACTCCTGCCCCCAGACATCACTCACAGCTCATTTTCCGTTTTCTTTCTTCCTAACATTCCATCTGACCTTTCCCTCCTTATTTATCATGTTTCCCCACCACACCCCCTGCTCCGTGATGAACACTCCCTCAGGCCTGTGCCCCCATATTCACAGGACCCAGCACAGCGCCAGGTGCACAGCTGGGCTCAGGAAGGGACCAGTGCTGCTCAGCTGACTGGCTACACGGAGGGTGCAAGGACGGACGTAGCCAACTTGTGAGCGACAAGGCAGGCCGTCAACCTCAGGCTGGCTGTGTGGTGCTTGAACTGCACTCATTCCTGTCCTGTCTTCTCAGGCCTGGTCTGGAAATTTCCCGAGCAAATGGCCACTCCCACCCTCACAGTCCAGCCATCTCAGTTTCCATCAGCCTTCTGAGGGTACCATCCACTGCAGAAAGGAACTCGTCAAAACGTGTCCTCAGAAGACCCATCCAGAGACAGGGACCAAGGTTCAGGCTGCTGATCTCACTTGGTCAATGCTCCAAGAGGAAGGAGGGCAAGCAGAGGCCCTCCCAGAAGGAATCTAGCTCCAGACAAGCTGTTACAGAAAGTCTGGGGATGGGTGTGGAGCGTGCCACCCAGCAGAGCCCTACCATCAAACTTACTGTCCACTTCTTGGTTTCAGAAGCTTCTGTCTTGCCCGACTCCCGATCAATCTCTTCTTGCAAGGCCTTTCGCCTCACCTGCGCAAGGGGGAGGTAAGAAAAGGATTTGAAAGGCGCCACAGAAGTTCTCTTTTGAGGTTGAAACCCAGGACCGAGAGGGCTGGGATGGGAGGTAGACAGGAAACCAATACTCTGTTGCAAACATCGTGCGAGGCATTTGTCAAAAGCATCTTCTGAGCATCTGGAGGGCTGCAGTCCCTTGGGCTAACGTGGGCAGGCTTCACTCACCCTGCGGCAGGAAAAAGCCAAGGGTGCTTAAGCACGAATTTCCTACAAGTTGAAGTTTGCCCACCTTTAGCATTGTAACTTTTTTTTTTTTGCTTGTAACCACTTTGGGTAAATCATTGCTTGAGGACCTGCCTTCTGGTACTGATGGCACTGAACACAGGTATACCTTCATGATAGCAACCCTTTCCAAAAAGAACACAGGCTATCCAGTCACGCAGACAGGCTCATTTGAATCCCAACACTGCCATTAACTAGCTGTGTGGCCTTGGGTAAGTCACTTAACCTTTCTGAACACTGGTCTGGGCAAACAGATTGAAATATCAGCTATCTTAGAGGGTAAATGGGAGAAACAGAAATGATATGGATGTAAAGAACCTAGCAGAGCACCTGGCACAAGGTGAGTGCATCTCATACGTGGTTGCTAGTCTGGCTCAAGGCCACTGCACGGCACCAGTGGCATTTCTGTTCCACAGAGAAGGTTCCAGGGTCCCTTGCCCCTTCCTGTGGGTCCAGGTGTAACGTTAGCTGACTTGCTTTGTAGCCCTTTGTCTTCTCTTCTAACTGCTTGGCTGAGCAGGTCTGTCCCATGCCCCAGCTGTAGGGTCTCAGGGACTCATCCTTTGGTCGCAGAGAAGAGGGCCTTGGCTTGGGATTCTGATGACCCAACGGGCCCCTCAGCCCTGGTACCTGGAGGGGTCTCCTGGCATGAGGTGGGAGAAACAGCATGAGGTCCCTGCTACCGGGGATGTGCCGGAGAGGCTGGCCTAGGTGGCCTTGGGAGTCCCTGACCCCACTGAGGCCTGGGAGAGTGCACGTATGCCTCTGGGTGTGGCAGCAGAAGGGGGTGAGAAGGAACTGAACCATACCTGGTCTATGTGGGCCTCATCCACGTTGCCCTTTTTTTCCAACACCACTTCTAAGTCTGGGTCTGGTTCCTGCACAAAAAGGCAGTCAGGTGAGATTCACATACCCAGCAGTAAGGCCTGTGCCCCAGCAGCCCAGCCAAGCTAAGACCATGACAAAGCCCAGAAGAAACCCTAAGACTACATCATTCCAACCCCTGCCATGTATACAACATTTCACCATCAACAAAGCCCTTCTCATCTTTTTTTTTCCCTGATTCTCCTTCTAACTTGTACTAATTCATCTGACAGACAAAGAAACAGGCTCAGAGAGGTGAAGTGACTAACACAAAGCTTGGGACAAACTGATCCTAAACCTAGAACTCCTGACTTAAGACCTTGGTGCATGTCACCAGACTCCTCCCATATGGCACCAAACTAGCAAGAGATGAGAGGTCAAAGGTCCTGCTAACAGTGGGCCAACAGGTGCAGGGGCACCATGCCAGCAAACTGACCCACTGAATCTACCCAATTCTCCCCCTCTATACTGCCACCCCAGTCCTGACCATGTCATTTCACCTGCCTGTACAACTGCAATAATCTCTTAACTCCCTACTTCCTCACTCACATCTCCAGTCCACTCCACACAGGAGCTCACATGAACTTTAACAACTCAGGTACTGCACCTATTCCTCCACCAGAGTCCCTGCGTGGTGTAAACGGTTAATGTGCTTGACTCACGGAAGCCCATGCATGCCGGAATACCACTGTGCTCCATAGCATTTTTGAGGCTCTAATCTTGGAAGGAAGGTTGGGCAATCCTACTTCCGTAGTGATACTGCCTCGAAAACCCAAGGAGGGGTCGCTATAAGTCGGGGCCGACTCGACGGCACATAACAACAACAACAACAACAATCTTTTAGATTGCCTGGACTTTTTCCTGAGACACCTGTGCATGGACTTGAATCATCAACCTTTTGTCTGGGTGCATTAACTATTTACATCCCACAGGGCAACTGTAACTGATTAACAATAAAATATGGTAGGTTTTCACCAGGCCCTTGTCACTCTCTTCCTTCTAATAATAGGTATTGAGTGTTCCTCTCAGAAACCTTCCCCCAATCTCAGATGGTATGGCTTGGGTGGGCCTGACCCCAAGCCCCTCCCTCCTGGTTTCACTCTCTGGACCTCTGGGGAGACTGACCCAAAGTGGGCCTGTAAGAGTGACTCTGGAACTTTTCCTAGAATCGTTTTGAAGCAGGCCACCTTCTTCCTTTGGAGTGGCAGAGCTGCTAGGATAAAGCCTGGAGCTGGGGGACTATCTTGACGTAGGTTGGTGGGTTAGGGGAGTCTACCTGGGACTAAGACCAACACAGAAAAACAGAAAGGCCACAGCTAGGAAAAGCCATGTAAGTGTCCCATTATCCAAATCTATTTTGACTCCTGAACTTTGTATACTGAGTGCAGACAGTACGCTCAGATAACTAACTACAGATGCCATGTTATTGCAAACTCTTTGATTCTCAGTTTTGGATAACAAGTGGCAAGAGTTCAAAAGCAAGGGATTCATCTAAAGAGCAGATCCCGATTTATGTGGCCCTTGAGTTTAGATGGTGAGAATTTGGACAGACGTTTATTGGCAAGGAACACCTGTATCAGTGACACTGCAGGAGCCCCTGGACCCAGAATCTCCTAAGCTTACTGGCCCTGAGCCTTTCCCATCCCATGTGTCAAAAACCCACTTTCTGGCTGAAATCAGGTTAATTAGGGTTCTTGCAACTAAAAGCACAAGTGTGTGAGAATACACACATGCATGCCTGTCTCACACACACATAGACATTCCTAGCCCCCCCACTCTTACTCTCTCAAGGCAGACTCCATCTCTCAAGGAAAACCTACCTCCTCACCAGGTTCTTCTGACACCCCACTCCCTTTCCTCTTCTTTTTCTTCTTCTTCAGAGCAGACTCCTCAATGCCTGGCTGCTCTGCTTGCTTCTTTGACTTGGTTTTCTTCTTCACTAGGGTTTTTGGGCCATCTCCTACTGGGATGCATTCCAGAACCTGCAATTTGACTGGCTTCTTTTTACTTCCTTTCCTAGGGCTGCTCCCTGTGGATCTGGAGACCTTGTGGTGGTCAAGGGGCAAATCACCCTCCTGGTAGAGTTTCTTTTTCTTCTTCATCTTGACCTGGTGTTCCCTGGGGCTCCCCTGCTTCCGTTTCTGCCCCAAGGCTGCCAGCTTCTCACTGCCCTTCCCCACTCTGCAAGCACAGAGAGCATCCCCAGCCTCACAGAGCCAAGGGCTCTGGCCTGAGAAGGCCTCGGTATCCTGGACCACCTGCTCCTTCTTGTGCTTTTTGAGCTTACTGCCAACTCTGGTCCCCTCCTCACCTTGTCTGGGGTTTAGAGAGGTATCCACCTCCAGGCCATGGGACACAGACAGAGCTGACAAGGACCTCCTCTTCTTTTTCTTCTCCCTGCTGTGGAATTCAGTAAGACCAAGGGCCTGCTTTCTGGAGCTGGGTGACTTTTCTCTCTGTCTGGCCCGCAACACAGTCTCAGGTTCTAGGTGATCCTCGCAAAGGACCTTCTCCTTCTTCTTCTTCTTCTTCTTCTTCACTAGAGGCATCTCAGGGGCCTGGATCACATTCTTAGTGGAGCATATGGCTCTTCGAGGAGAAACCTCAGTGGAATAATCATGTTTTAAAACCGAAGAGTGAATCTCTGACTCTTTGACCACTTTCTTCTTCTTTTTCTTTTTTTCTGGGAGCCCAAGGCCCACGTCTACTTGTTGGGTCTTGGTGATCATTCCTGAAAAAAAGAAATGGTACAAGTTATCCCATACCAAGTCACTCTGGGTTCAATTCTACTAGGTATCACCAAGAGCCATATTTAGACAGGTGGTCTAAAATGTTAGAGATGAAGGATATATGAAAGAGAAAAATGACAAAAGAAATAGCATGGAGTTTAAGTTCAGACAGGCCTGGGTACATATCCAAACTCTGCTCCCTGACTTTGAGTCAATCACTGAAGCTTTGTGACCATTAATTTACCCATCTGGAAAATGAGAAAGTAACATTTGCTTCCTTAAAGAAGTGTTGGAAGGAAAAAGTGAGTAAATCCACATAAAGTACTTGACACGTTTTTCTAACCCTCTTTCTCAAACCTCTAAGCCTAATCATTCATTCAACAGATACTTAACCAACTGCCACCTCTATGCCAGCTACTCAGGGAACAACTGCAATCAAGTCAGATAGGCCAGTCCCTGCCCCTGTGAGCTTGCCTTTCACTGGATGTTGCAGACAGAGATCCTGAAGTCTGCCCTTCTCAGTGGACCCACCAGTCCAATGACCACTAGAGTCCATCAGAGGCAATGAGAGCAGCACAATTAATCCCATACCCTTGATCATCTAAACAGCTCTTCCACTTTGCTTCTGGAAATGAATTCTGCTCTCCTGTATTCTGGGTGACTTATTCTCATAATTGCTTCTTCACTTGGCCAGTAATAAGAACAGCAGCACTGTATGATCAGAAGAGCTAGGAATCCCAAGACCTGACTTCAAAGGGTAACTCTGACACTCTCACACTTGCATGGCCTTGGCTTTTCTGGAGCTCAGTTTTCTAATCCATAAAAAACAGTGAACCAGACCAGCAGCTACAAGTCGAGGGACCTAGAGGCCACATCCAGCATGCAAGCCTGTTTTGCTATTTTCAAAATTTCAAATCACTTGCCAACATTTAACGATTGGACATAACACACAAAAACCAAGAATGCCCAGCTTTTATTGACAAATGGAAAAATATGGCAGCACTGAGTTCATATTCTGGCTTGGCAGCTGTTCTGGTTACCTAGAGCCATTCTGACAGGAAAATCCATTAAATGGCATGGCTTGAAAAATCAGTTTATTTTCTTACAATTCTGAAGGCTAGAAGTCCTAATTCAAAGTGCCAGGCTCTAGGGGCTGTGTGAAAGCCCCTCAACCTTAGGCTTCAGCTCTGCCTCCTGTTCCTGGCCCACTGAAGCTGCAGGCTTTTCTTCACTCAGGCATCCACTGGCTGCTAAGGCTGACAAACCCAAGGTCAACAAGTAAAAAGGCACAGTCCCGATATTACCATGGTAGGCCACTAGTTCAAGTCCAGAAAAGGTCCTAAGATCAGCAGGGCATGGTAGGCTGCTGAACAA